GCGCGGGGCGCTGGGGGCGCGGGTTACCCTCGCCCCTTCCACCGTGGAAAGTTGTGCGTCCGCCCGCCCGCCCCGACTTTCGAAACGCCTTTACCTCATAGTAGTTGCTCAAATTTTCCATCCAGGGAAGACTTAGCTGCCAGAGCTCCCGGCCATAAATCGAGCCCCGCGGACGCGAAGTCTGGGACCGACTCCTCCGCCGGTGAGGACCGGGTCCAATGCAGCGCGTCTTCCAGGCAGCCTCCCTCGCGGCGGCGTTTGGAGCTCAGGGTGCCATGGAGACGGCGCCACCCCACCGCACACGGGGCCCACCCGTCCCGGGTACCAGGGCTGGGCGGGGCACCTGTGGCCTGCCTGGGTGGGGATGTGCGTGTGCGTGCGCGTGTGTGCGTGCGCGTGTTTTGGGGGGCAGCATGGTTTCCCAAAATGTGTTCCGCGTTCGCTGTTCCTCCAGCAACCGCAGGTGTCAGAGGAGAAGTTGATTGATTGACTTTCAGCCCTGGAAGCTTCCCGGTAGCAGCCTGTTTTTTCCTCATCCTGGGAGGCCGCTGCTGCTCCTCCTGCTCCGAGGGATCCCCGGCCCCTTCCAGGAAGGAGCCCGCGGGAGAGTGCAGGTGTCACACGGGCTGAGAAGCACGAAGCCGCCTCAGAGCGCGGTGCGGGTTCACCTGCTAACATTTTTGCGGCTTTTATTTACATATTCATTGTAAATATGTAACCTTTATTTGTTGCACGCTGTTTTTGAGTAAAAGCTGGTCCTGCCCTCCAAGGTCTTGTTGATGGGAAATGGTGGCTTGCAGGGCTGACTTCGCCACCAGGTTATTTTGATCCCTGTATGAAATTCTATGTCCAGAAGAGTGCAGTATATCCAAGCAGGGTAATAAATTTAGGACTGAAAAGAAAAAGATGTTTTTAAATGATGCCATGGTAATTTTTGCTTCAAACTCCATTTGTAGGTGGGGGATCGGCTGAAACGTTTTTCACTCACGGTGAAAAAATATTGTTTGTTTCCAATAACATACTTAAGATTGAGTGAACTTGCGGATGCGTAGACAATGAGAACGTGGAGGTACGTCGATGACAGATGGGTGAAACTGGGGTGATTACCCACGAAGCTAATTGCTTTATCATCACTTGTTGGGAATGACTTATTATTTTAAACGTTTTGTTTTAAGAGTGAGATTACCTTTTATAGCCACTGAAATATTTAGATACTTTAATTTCAAATTAATATTACTAAGATTTCCAGAAAGGCAATAAGATTCACTTTTAAGTGTGTGTTACAATGGTGATAAAGGGGAGTTGCAACTTAATTCTGATCCTAAATGCCCTTTAACCTGTTATTGCCCGAAGTGCAAGCATTCAAAATTTAGCACAGCAGTTTAAGAATAATTTCCCCATGAAGCTTAAATTTGACTTATCTATATTACTTCTAAATCTTTTGCGGTGCTCCTACGTTTCAGTTTTCCTTCATGAAGTTTATTTTTAGACTGGTTTCTTATTATCTGTATTCTTATAAGTCAGAGGTCTCTTGTGATTGAAGCCTGGCTTTATTAATTTGTTAAACAAGACCTCAGCTTGGGGGCTGGCTCGGGATCACAAGCAAGAGCAGCAGTCTGTGTTAGGTGTCGTGAGCGTCGTATGAGAATGCCCATCCCTGGCCAGGGCGAGTTTAAGAAGATTTCACAAATGTTCTGTTAAGTACCAAGCAAACCAGGCACGCCAGCCGCTTCAAAATAACCACACGTAGCTCTGTGTGTGCCCCGTGAAGGGACCAAGTAAAGTCAGCACAGTCTGACTCTTTGCTTTGATCTCAGCACCCCCAGGAGATTCATATTCTACTGCTGAAAAATACTCTGTACTCAGAGATGAATAAAAATAAAGGTGACTGATTCCGGTTTCTCAGGTGCTAGGTTCTTAAGTCCAGACTTCTTACGTTATCTACCTGAAGAAGTGCCTTGTCCCCTAAGTCCAGACTTCCTACGTTATCTACCTGAAGAAGTGCCTTGTCCCCTAAGTCCAGACTTCCTACGTTATCTACCTGAAGAAGTGCCTTGTCCCCTAAGTCCAGACTTCCTACGTTATCTACCTGAAGAAGTGCCTTGCCTTTTGTGAGCACCTTGCTGCATGATCTGTTGGACATGGCAACCTTGGAATTTTGTGGATGTTTTTCCTCTTCAAATACTTGCTTTTTTTTTTTTTTTTTCCTAATTTGGCCAGTACTTCCTTGTGAAGGTCACCTTCCTCAGACCCTTTTCAAGCTGATTGTACATTACTTGCTTCCCGTTTTCAGTGCTGCTTCTGTCTTCCTTTGACAATTTTTAAGTGTTTGTACTTCCAAATAAGATCTTTAGCGTTAAGTCACTCTTTAAAAAACCGATTATAGTCCCCAATAACCTTTTAAAAGTACCAGGAAATCCCCTTTTTACTTTATGTCGCTATTTGGGTTTCACTGGTTTTTTTTAATTGAACAAAATATAGATTTAGCTTTTACATTTACATGTCTAAGGTGAAATACTATAATGATTACGAGTAAGATTACGAGGAAAATTGACAAATCAGTAGTTTTATAAAACTGTCAAGGTTTTAAAAATTCTAGTGCAAAACTTGTTTTTTATTAGTCCGTGCTGCAGAGCAGGATGTTGCCTTCCTGGGCGGGAGCTGGTGCTTGTGCATAGCGTCTTTCATCTCTGCTGTCCCTTCCCTCCCTCTTGTCCCTCTCCCACCAGCTCTCCTACCTACTCCCATCTGCAGAAATTCTTTGTTTCTCTCAATTCTCTCTTAAAAAATCCTTTCCCTTTTCTTCCCCAATCTCTTGGTCCCTTTCCCATTTGAGAAGGATCTATTATCTACTTTTATTTGTATTTTGAATTTCTCAAATAAGGGCAACCATGTGATAGTTAAACTTGTATATTTGACTTATTTCACTTAACATTATAGGTTTGAAGTATACGCGTTTACCTCCAAATGCCTAAAGCTTATCCTTCTTTATGGCAGAGTAGTACTCCACTCTGTGGAAATACCACATTTTCTTTATCCATTCACTGATGATGAACAAATAGGCAGTTTCTAAGATTTAACTATTGTGAGTTGTGCTGCTATAAACATGGGTGTGCATGGATCACTGTGATGTCGTGACTTTAACTCTTCCTGGAAGGTTCCTAGAAGGGGAAAGCTGGGTTGAATGGAATTTCTGCTTTTAGATTTTTGAGGAATCTCCATAGGGTCGTACTAGCTCAGATTCCTACCAACACACAGAAGGGTGCCTTTTCCCTACAGCCTCATGGCTGTCCGTTGTCACTGGGTCTGTTAGTGGTAACGTTCCTGCCGGAGTAAAATGGAATCTCAGTGTCAGTTCAGCTTGACTTTCTCAAATGGCTGGAGATGTTGAACATTTTTTCATGTGTTTATTGGCTGTAAAACACTTCTCGGTAGTTTCTACCAGGTACTAGCTAAAAGTTTATGAATGAATCCTTTTGAGGATTTTTGTTCTCTGGTTACAAAAAAAGTAACCTAATGAAAATACATTTAATTTATCCCAAGTTGGATTTTTGCTTCAAATCTTCCTATAGGAGATTTTCTAATTGTCTTTGAATTCCAGGTCAAAATAAGATTTTGCTTTTATTTAAAAAATAAAATATAATATGCATGAGATGCTTTGCTATGTGATGAGATTACCTTTCAAATTCCAATACTTAAGTGGGCAACTTTGAACTTTACCTAAAGCTTAGGGGGTGGCCTGACTAAAGTGTTGGAGGAAACCTTGAGTGACACTGGGACCGCAAGGAGAAGCTGCGGTCCTGGGCAGGATCCCAGGTTTGTGCCTTTCCTGAACTTCCTTTGGACCTGCTTGAGGGTGAGGCTTATGTTCATGCACTTCCAGCCCCTTAGGGTGGGGGTGCTGGTAGAGGCTGAATGGATGGGAACCCTTTGCTCCTGTCCTGCTCCTGTCCGCCTCTGTTGAAAGATTTGTTTCTGTTTTGAATGCTCCTTTCATAATTATTAACAGTTCCAAACTTAAAAACATTGTGTCTCATAAATATCTGTGAATTGTTTTTTTGGAACATTCAGAGCGTTTTTCCCTCTAGAGACCAAGTTGTAAATGGCGCTTTGGCTTGGTCATCTCCTCTGCAAAGACTAAAGTTGGAAAGAATACTGTGACAATGTTAGTAATCAAAGTAGCCTTCAAGTAGGAAGTACTTTATTCTTCTTGAATGTTGGGTCATTCTTTTTTTTTCTTGGTATGGGGAATTGAACTCAGAACCTTGTGCTTGCCAGGCAGGCGCTTATTACACTGAGCTATATCCCTGGCCCATCTTCTTAAATGCTGGTACCTGAGGACAAAGATGATTTTTTTGAAAGAGGAGATACAATGTTTTGGAAATATTCTAAAGCAACTTATAAGGTCAGAAAGGTATGTGGAAGCTCTCACACCGTGCATATCTTTCTATTTTTATTTTTTGAAGAGCATCACTAGTACAAACCCTATGGTATTTCTATTGTGTTTTGACGTGATTAACCAAGGGATTTAAAGAGAGACGCACAGGAGGAGGTTTTCCTGAGGTTTGCTGGGGCCATGGGTTTGAACGCAAGAGGAAGTGTGACGGGGGAGGCGTGTCGGCCGTGTGACCAGGCTGAGGAGGCACCTGTGTTCTGCGACTCGCTGCTCGGCAGCGCTGCCGGGGCCTTCGAGTAAGGCTCCCAACTCGTGTGTCCTGCACAGTGGGCACTCGGGGTTACTGCGATGTCTTTCTCTCCCCTCGGAGGGCAGGGTGTGGTGAAAGAAGCGTGTGGGACTCCTAGGGGAAGAGCACGTGTGTAGCACTAGTGTCTGTGCCCCCTGCGAGGAGTCGGCACATGTGCAAACACACCCCAGTTCCTGTTCTCACCCGACCCCTCCCCGTCCGTCTCTTGGGCCTCTTCAACTTCGAGAAAGGTGCGTCTCCCTGTTTCCTGTTATCTATGGTTCATTTTGCGTTTTATTTAAATCTTTCTCTGTCCTGTCTCATGAAAGACCGTGTGCCTTCCCAGAAGAACAGAACAAACTCAGGAAGGGAAGGGAGTTTGTGGTACACAGCTCTGTCCACTTGCGACTTTTTTCATGAGTGAAATGAAACCGCATGTGTTTGTTCCTGATTGGGGGAAACTCTCTAGACCGGGGCACAGCAGCACCGGCTTCCCAACCCCACTGCAACTCCAGTTCGCTGTTCACTCGCTCTCCAGGCT